CGCTATAATATTTCTTTAAACATCTAAGAATTTCATTTCTGCCCTATGCCAAAAGATGATTTAGTGCAATTCTGAATCAAAGTTGGCTGAGGTTTAAGGAACAGAAGAGGGTATAACTTCCTACCTTTGTTTCCTTCCATGGAGTAGTGAAGCCATGCTCCTAACGGAGCACATAATAACTAAATATACACATGACACAGTGGGTAAAACTAGGGCACTTTCAAGAAGGAAAAATGCCAAAATAGAGAGGTGTATTACATGATATCGATCAATCAAATACTCTGTAGATACTAGGAAAAACTATCAAGTTCCAAGACATGTGTTCTAACTTTTTAAGAATCACTTTTAACTATGATCATCATCATTATTTTCATCATTAGTATCATTATCAATATTATTACGATAATTAAGACTATCACTGTCAATAGCATCATCTTTGCCAATAGTAGGTATTGTTTACATCAATTGCATTGATATTATCATCATTATCATTATGCCCAAATCCTTATTTTGAAAACCGTTTGTACACATTTTCGGAGGAGAGAGAAACATGGGACAAGAACAAGAGACAATTGTCGAAGCCAAGGAGGAAACCTGGTTTCCATAGAAACAGAAGACGAACGGAATTTTATTAAGAAGTCTTATGATACAATTTATCACATTGGTTAAAAAAAAAAAAGCTAGCAATTGGACTTGGGTGAGTGGAAGACGACTAAATTTCCCGCAATGGATAAACAACTTGTCTAGATCCGATGGAGAGGTAGCTTCCATTTCTTGGAAGTCTAACGATGAATGTATGCAAGTAAAATTTGGAGCTAGGGATGTAGATTATCTTTATATTTGTGAGTTTCATAAAGGTAATTCAAAACTACAGCTGTCTTTAAAGAATGTATTTGAGGGAAAGAGCATTCTTAAAGCGCTAAGACGAAACAAATATATCATTATGGATCCTGCAGGTTTCTCTGATGTTTATAAAAAAAAGTGGCTTTGTGCTGATTGATATTGGGCCCTTCCCTATTACGCCAGCATTTTGTTTGGCCTACTTTGGCCTAAGGAGCAATTCATAAGGTACTTTTCCACGAAAAGAATTTGTAGGATAACTTAACATTGTCCGCCAATTTATTTAACATTTTTGATGTCAAAAGAATGATTTTGCTCGCTGTTGATGTTCGAGCACTTTTTAAGAACTTTAGGAAAATGCAATTCTCCAAGCTCTCCACATATGTGCTGTCTCTCCATTATAGTTACACCTTCGAACGCCTTGCAGGTCAGCAGTTAGTTTGCATGGGTTGTACCCAGTCTCTGCTCACGTTATAGCAATGTAAATTACGACGCTTATCATGTTTATAACCTTCGTTTGGTTCTTCTGTGGCTACTTTCCGATTGGGTTGTTCCGAGATTTCACTAACGAAAAAAAGCTAGAGAGGAGCCTGGGAAATGGTCCAACATAGAACACTTTCGCAAACGGCGTGAGAGCCCTAGCTCAGCTTTATGCCTTAAACTCTGACAGAGCACACTTTTCCAACCAGTCCCTCCGTTACTGATTGTGAGTTTATCGCCAGTGATTGTAAAATACGAGGTAAATGCTGTTTATCCGTCGATATTTTTATTCGTTGTATACGGCAGAACTCGTAAAAATATTCAGCGATGCTACTCACCAAAACTTCCAATAAAGTATATGAGCTTAATGAAAATATGTATGAGCCTAAAGTAAATATCTGATCACCAAATTGTCGTTGAACGGTTCTTAGTGATCGTAACAATTTTTTATTTGCAAAAAGTTGTTTGCGTGGACTTTGTAAGGTCTGCCAAAATCACCAACAAGCGAGGAGTTTAATCTTTTTTTTTTTTTTTCAGTGGATTGGAACAATTAATAGTCACATTTCACAAACATTTGATAGTCGTGTTTTACAAACATTAAACAGTCGCCTTTTACGAACATTTAACAGGCGTATTTTACACACATTTAACGGTCGCGTTTTTACAAACATTTAACAGTCGCATTTTATGAACATTCAGTAGTCGAATTTTACGAACATTTAACGGTCGCTTGCTACGAACATATAACGGTCGCATTTTACGAACATTAAACGGTCGCTTTTACGAACATTTAATAGTCGCATTTTAGCAAAATTTAACGAGCGTATTATACATATATTCAACGGTCGCATTTTACGAACATTTAACGGCCGTAATTTTAAGAAGATTTAACAGTCGAATTTTACGAACATTCAATAGTCGCATGTTACGAACATTTAACGGTAGCTTGCTAAGAACATATAACGGTCGCATTTTACAAACATTAAACGGTCGCTTTTACAAACATTTAACACTCGCATTTTACGAACATTTAACAGTCACATTTTAAGAACATTAAACAGGCGCTTTTTACCAACATTTAAAGGTCGCATTTTGAGAAAATTTAACATTCGCGTTTTACAACAACTTTAAAGTCGTACATTTTGAGAGCATTTATTCCATTAGGCCATTATTTGACCTTAATTACATAAGGGTTGTTTACTGGTACTGTTTTTCATGGGCCGTTTTATCGTAACAACGCAAATTTAAAGACCGATGAAGCGCAAAAAAACTGTAAAGCTCCAAATCCGTTATAAATCCACAATAACTTTAGCGAATGCGTACGAAAGACTTTTACCTCATCCAAAATGTTCGTATGCCTGTGCACGGAATGTTTGTGTTCCTGTGTGCCTAGTGTTTTAAGGAAACCCACAAAGCTAAAAATTAGGCCTGAAGGGAAACCGCACACAGAGATTTTAACCCAATCAATAACAACTACAAGGTTTCAAACGGATTTGGCCTAATTTAGACTGCATGGCTAACTGCATAATGGTGTGAGCTTGTAAAGTTGTGTGCCGAAACCGCGGGACATCTGAAACGGCTATAGTGGAAGAACGCCATGGTTTTTGAGATTTCTTCGCCGAAATTTTACATTGGTTAAAAACAATTGAATGCCAATCGTCTTCATGGAGTACTTCGAAAGGGATACTTGATGAAAGATGAAGTAAACAGAATCTGCCCGCAAAATATATAACACCATGAGAACGTTGATTAAGCGAGTGATAGCGATTGTTGTTTCATTTCATAGTAGGGACTTGAGAAAACACGGCGGTCACGGAAACAAAATATTTCTTGGAAAGGCCACTGCAAACGATTTATTCATTTTACAACCTTTGTGTACCTTCCAAAGGTTTCCTGCAAAATAAGAATACACAATCCTATCAAAGACTGGAAATTAAGCACGCTGAGTGAGCTTCTGTTTTGATTCAAGTTTTTCAGAATTGTTTTGTTTCCTTTAGACAGGGACCGCTGCTTAATCAAAAATGTATGAATTTCATGCAGCTCAGCATTCATTTCCAGTGTAACTGGCAGTAATTTCTCGAAACTTGAATCTTTATCAAAAACTCTTACTTAAAACTCAGTTACTTCGTGCCTTTCTGCTTAAACGGAATACCTCAGCCTTTCAACATTTGTGAAGTTTCATCACACTGTTTGAATTTTCGCGTGTGTTATGACAAGTTTTAGGAGACGTTTTGTTATTGGTCGAATGGATGAATAAGGTTAAATTATACAATAAGTAGGTGTCTGAGTGCATGGCACGCATCATACTTCAGTTGGCGGTTTTCTCACTCAAAGCCCAGCTCCGTTGATCTTCTTTACGGATCTGTCGCGGGCTAAAAATTAACATTGTCATTCTCTGGTTAAACAAAACTGTGAAAATATTCGGTCGACGGCCTAGAGGTCCAGTTTTTCAGTGCTGGATATTTCTAAGAGTTGGGAAACATTGATAATGCGTGAAATTTTCGCGCTTGCCTTTGGATGTGAGATCCAAAACTTGTGACTAAGCGATCAATGGAAGGGAACAGTTTTCTAATTTTATCTTTGTTGTTATTATGTGCTCCGTTAGGAGCATGGCTTCACTGCTCCACGGAAGGAAACAAAGGTAGGAAGTTATACTCTCTTCTGTTCCTTAAACCTCAGCCAACTTTGATTCAGAATTGCACTAAATCATCTTTCGGCATAGGGCAGAAATGAAATTCTTAGATGTTTAAAGAAATATTATAGCGTATTTCTTTAAGGCGAAAGACTACGTACTTTTTGAACATTCATGTCTGTATTGACTTTTATTTCAATGCTAACCTTAATCTGCCAACTTTGAAGTCCAGATTAATTTGGAATTTTTTCGTAGTTTCTATTTTAAAAAAAACTTTACTTGAATCGTTTATAAGGTCGCCTGCAATTTTAGTCGCAGCTAAGAGAAGCAGGAGTATTGATAAAACTTCACGCCAGTCAATTATTTTAGGACAGGTTACGAAAATCGATCAATTTTCAGCTGCTCGCAATGGGGTATTATGCGAAAAATAAAAAATAAAAAAAAGCAATGACAACTTGATGTTGATGTTTTCATTAAGCTCTTGTTTTAATTTTCTCGGTCAGAGAGACATTGAATATTTCGTTTATTTTAAAGAAAAATTAATGCCAACCAAAAAGCGATATTTACTTCACTTTTTAAAACGAGTTTTCAATCACTTTGGGATCTATCGTACAGATACATTTTGCATTGAGTTAGTGGAAATAGGCAGCTTGTTTTGTTGATTCAAAAACTCCCTCTTCCTACATAAATTTTTTTATACCCATCGAGAAAGACAAATTCTTGGTTAACAGAGAAATCATTCTAGCCACTCAAGCACCAGGATCGTTATGTAACATTCAGATTCTTTTAATTTCGTCTGTGATTTAGGCGCTTTGGTGATATATGCTCGCAATTCTAGATCTTGTCACTAATTTTTAAAAAATTATGGTTACAAAAAGTCAATGACATTTGTCATCATTTATCTTGCAAATCCCTTGCAGACCATGGTTGCCGAAGTCTTATGTTTCTGAAATCCTTTGGAGGACATGCTTTGCAACGCCACGTTTTTAAAGAAATCTATTTAACTATGGGAATTGAGCCTTATAGCGACTGCAAAAATAGGTGCCTCATGGAAAATTCTTGTGTGTCCGTGAACATTGGTCCACCTGACAAGAATGGCCTTAGGGTCTGTCAACTGAGTGATTCTGATCACATTCAACATCCTGATGACCTTAAACCCCAAGAAGGATATTTGTATTGGGCGTCAAAGGTGCGGGAAAAAATGGATTTTACCTAATGATGTTTATTTATTTATTTTCGATATTAAAAATATTGCTGAAAATAAATCTGTCCTTATAGAATATGTGCTCCAGCAAGCCTTGTCCTCAAAATGTGATCTGCGTTAATGGATTTACCAACCAGAGATACATTTGCTTAATGTGCAAAGCTGGTTTTATGGGAGAAAGATGTGAACAAGGTAAAAAGAGAACTTTGTTTTTCGGTATTTAAGTTAATTCTGATTTTTTTTTTTTTTGGTCCTCTCTTCTTGTGTCCGTTCAGTTTTATTAGGAGAATTCACTTTCCATAAATTTGTATATATGTATTTATTATTTTTTTTTGTAATTGCTTCTATAACGTGTATAAATAAGTGTGTTTCATTTTTGTAACAGCTCCGGTGCTCCATGAATTATTTTTTTTTAAAGAAGCTTTTAATATATAATTTTTTTCATCATCAAAATGGTTAAAAAACAAACGAGTGCAGGAATTCTGTAAAAAGAAAAACAAAACAAAGCAAAGCAAAAAAACCCTCTCACTACATGGATGCATTCTTCTCCTCTAGAGCTTTCTTTGTAAAGCCCTAGATAGCAGTGGACTGCAGTACGAAAATCTCGTAACCGTGGAATGGGCTAGACTATGTGTCTTTCCACATTACCCAGTTTCTATATCTGGTCCTCTGTGATAACGTGAGTTGTTAGCCATTCCCCTTTGGAATTCAAGAGAGTTATTTCTACTTCAGCGTTTTCTTTCATTTGAAGATAATTATGCTTGAGCGTCATTTACTATATGTTTGTTTGTTTTTTCAGATATAAACGAGTGCATCAGTGATACCGACGGTTGTCATCATAATGCAAGTTGCAACAACACAATTGGCTCTTACACATGCAAATGCAAGCCAGGATTTAGTTGCAGTTAGTATGACAGATGTTTTGATTGTTAATTAGTGCAACGTTTATACAGTACTTGTATGGATTCTGATGGGATTCGCACCAACCAACACCGCCGGTTCATAACCAACAATTCGTGTACGAGTTGATCAAACCATATTTTGAAATAGCTTGCATCATGATATCCTTTTGGAACAAGCCAGATTTTCATGAATATGTTCAACCAAATTTCCAAATGTAAAAATTCTGTCATGTTTTCGATTACTACTACTACTACTACTACTACTACTACTACTACTACTACTACTACTACGTTCTTAAAGAGTTTCAGAGTAAAAAATTAATTATAATAATAAAAAAAGGAACAGGCACACAAACAAAAAACAACGATAGATTACATCAAGATTTTACCATTCTTAATAGAATTAAACAACGTGTGATATGAAAAAAGGGTTGAAGTAAACTTTGTTTTTATCTTTCAGCATTCCAAGCCCTCTTTACAAATCTCAATGCCACTGGTAGGTATGGTCCAACGACGCTGGGTAGTCACTACACTGGTCAAGATCATGACGGACAGGTTACATTGTCCGGCGGTATTCAACAGTGGAATGTGCCGTACACTGGTGACTATAGAATAGAAGCGATCGGAGCAGCAGGAGGATACGATCAACTTAACGAAAGTGCTCAATACCGAGGAAGAGGGGCGATTATGGTTGGAACATTTCGCCTAAACAAGGGTGAAGTCATACAAGTAATTGTTGGTCAAGAAGGAGGAATAACCAAACGGAGGTGGTCTTCTGGAGGTGGTGGAGGAACATTTGTTGTGAGAGGAGCCAATACACCTTTGATCATAGCTGGAGGCGGGGGAGGCTTACAAACTGTTAATTCAAGACATGGAGGATGTGACGCCAGCACACAAACAACAGGGAATACTGGATACAAATCATGGCCAGGGGGAAGCAATGGACATGGTGCACAGACTGCTGATAACAGCTCTCATTCAGGTAAAATTATATTGTGATGTTTCCTTACTCTTCATGGCCTTAGCAGCAAATTAATCAAGTTGTACGTTTCTGGTTTCTATGTAAGATTAGTGCTCATAAGGTGGCAATATCGTTAGTAATCTAGTTTGTGATTGAGCATGAAAAGATAGGTCACAGTTTTCACCCAGTGTCCTTCTAGGCATCAAATACCTTTACATTCCTTAAAGTATCACTTCCTCTGATCTTTCAACATTTTAAAAACCCACAAGAAATTATGAAATTTCGCCTCAATCACAGAATTTAACATTGTTATACATTAAATTATCAAATAGCCTAAGTTGGTATCTTGGGAGTCTTCGGACCAAATGTCATGGCAATCCTAGTAAAGTTTACATACCTTATTAATTCGTTCAAAGAAGGCACATTCACAAAAAAAAGGATTTAGGTTTTATTGCTTTCCCGACAATTCACGCGTTTGGGTGACCACATGTCGAGTTACATCAACACCGCAAAAACCCAGAATTCCGACTGCCAATAGAAACACTGAGGCGTCCTGTAGAGAATCTCAGCAAGAACATATTCTGCAGGTTACCACCATTAGTTACCTATGACAGACCTTTAGTTCAATTCAGCTGAATGGCAATTTCGATTTTTTTTTATAATTTTAACTTAAAAACGGCTTGGGCACGTCGCGGCAAAACTTAATGGTCGCTGACCGAGTGCGAGCAGCGAAGATTGCTTAAACCGCAAGCCTTTATGTGTTTCGCCACTCCGCTTTTAATTTCTTCTTATGCAGACAGAAAGACTTCTTTTTACTTTCATCTATGGAATCTTTTCCTTTTCATCTATATCTATTCCCATTCTAGTTTTAAACGCAGACATATTGCAAAGATCTCAACGGACATGTTTACGTGATCGAAATTCAAGGATCAAGAAGTTTTGCCCTGAGAAACCCTGCGGGAGTCATATATGTTTACATGTTATAATTGGCTATTCACAATTTGGCCGGCTAGCGAATTCAGTTCAAAAATATGCTTTTTTTAATAACTCGCGTGTGTTTTAATATTTTACGTAAATTTTTCTCCGAAACTTTATGTCAAATAACAATGTTTAGTTTTACATGGAAAAAAAATTCCGAGAAAATTCCGAAAATATTGGCCCTCGAAGGTCTACCGTATCCTTAGATCAATTTCCATGTATCATTATATTTTTTCCTCAGGTGGAGGTGGTGGCGGCTTTTGTTCGAGTGGAAGAAGTGGAGCGTATTTCAATGGAACCGTGGGAGAGGGTGGAGAGGGTGGTAAGGGATTTCTTCAGGGAGGGGTGGGTGGGAGAACCCGTTACAACGATACCACTGGTGGGTTTGGGGGAGGAGGTGGGGCTTGGGGATGGGCAGGGGGAGGAGGAGGAGGAGGAGGGTACTCTGGGGGAGGTAGTGGTAAAGACCTAGGTAATTCCTGTGGCGGTGGAGGTGGGTCGTTTAATGCTGGAAACAACCAACATAATGATTGTTGTTACAACTCTGCAGGTCATGGTCAGGTGACGATAACGTTACAGTAGAGTAAACTAACCATTAGCTACCAAACTTCAAAAAAAGAAACAACAACAGACTGAGAGGGTGAATCAGGGCGTTGGACGTTATATTTCTCTAACGTGGACATTAGGTCGAGGTTGATCTTCAAAGGGAAGTGTTGATAACAGACTTCTGCCTAAGAGACTATTTCATAATAACACCAGAACAACTAGCATATCTCAAAGCTTCATCTCGATCTCCTCATTTTCCTTCGATCGTGCATTTTAGTAACAGTATGTCATTATGTTGGTTGACCTTCTCTAATTTGGCTTGTTAACTCAGTTCGAAAAGCATTGCACCGGTATCGCAGAGGTCATGGGTTCAAATCCCACGCCTGAATTTATCGGGCCTTACTTTCAGTACTGCTTAGGTCGTGTTCATTTCTATGAAAACTGCTTTAATTTTCTTAAAAGGATGTTTCTTTGACAACCATTTTGGGGATTTTAAAATGTCGAAGCCATAAATGAACTAGATAGACTTAAGGTGTGTAAACTTTATCGACATTTAGAAAACAAAGCTAGATATTCCTGAATATGAATAAACAACTGGTGCCGGAGGAGTATATTATAGAGAGGCCATAATTTCGTTCTGTCGCTCAGTTTTACCCATATCCAATATGTTATACTATAGAGAAGAAATTATGTCGTTCTATTACTCAATTTTTACTCATATCTATTGTGTAATATCATAGAGAGGCAACGATGTTGTTCTGGTACTCAATTTTACCTATATTCATTTTGTTATATAATAGAGAGGCAACAATGTCGTTCTGTTACTCAATATTACCTATGTTCATTATGTTATATAATAGAGAGGCATCAGCGTCGTTCTGTTACTCAATTTTCACATATCCATTATGTTATATTATAGAGAGGCAAGAATGTCGTTCTGTCGCTCAATTTTACCCATATCCACTATATTGTATTATAGAGAGGCAACAGTGTTTTTCTGTCACTCAATTGTACCCATATCCACTATATTGTATTATAGAGAGGTAACAGTGTCGTTCTGTTACTCAATTTTACCCATATCCACTATGTTATATTATAGAGAGGCAACAGCGTTGTTCTGTCACTCAATTTTAACCATATCCACTATATTGTATTATAGAGAGGCAACATTGTTGTTCTGTCACTCAATTTTACCCATATCCATATGTTATATTACAGAGAAGCAACAATGTCGTTCTGTTATTCAGTTTTACCCATATCCACTTTTTTGTATCATAGAAAGGCAATAGTGTCGTTCTGTTACTCAATTTTACCCATATCCACTATGTTGTATTATAGAGAGGCAACAGTGTCGTTCTGTCACTCAATTTTACCCATATCCACTAGGTTATATAATAGAGAAGCAACAGTGTCATTCTGGTACTCAATGTTACCCATATCCACTATGTTGTATTATAGAGAGGCAACAGTGTTGTCACTCAATTTTATCCATATCCACTATGTTATATTATAGAGAAGCAACAATGTCTTTCTGTCACTCAATTTTACCCATATCCACTTTGTTGTATTATAGAATTCGAAAGGCAATAGTCTCGTTCTGTCACTCAATTTTACCCATATCCACTAGGTTATATTATAGAAAGGCAACAGTGTCATTCTGTTACTCAATTTTACTCATATCCACTGTGTTATATTATATAGAGGCAACAGTGTTGTTCTGTCACTCAATTTTACCCATATCCACTTGGTTATATAATAGAAAGGCAACAGTGTCGTTCCGTTATTCAATTTTACCCATATCCACTAGGTTATATTATAGAAAGGCAACAGTGTCGTTCTGTCACTCAATTTTTCCCATATCTACTGTTATATTATAGAGAGGCAACAGTGTTGTTCTGTCACTCAATTTCACACATATCCACGATATATTATAGAGAGGCAACAGTGTTGTTCTGTTACTCAATTTTACCCATATCCACTATGTTGTATTATAGAAAGGCAACAGTGTCGTTCTGTTACTCAATTTTACCCATATCCATTATGTTATATTATAGAAAGGCAACAGTGTCGTTCTGTTACTCAATTTTTCCCATATCTACTGTTATATTAGAGAGAGGCAACAGTGTTGTTTTGTCACTCAACTTTACCCATATCCATTATGTTTTATTATAGAGAGGGAATGAAGTCGTTCTGTCACTTAATTTTACCCATCTCCGTTATGTTTTATTATAGAGAGGGAAGAGAGTCATTCTGTCACTCAATTTTACCCATATCCATTATGCTGTATTCATTGCTTCGTTAACGATTATCTACGGGCCAGTCATTAAATGTCACTTAGGGGGAGGGGGGTAGAATTGGGGGGATTAGGTGGTTTTCAGGGGGGAACGGTAGGGGATGTCAGTCGTCACTAACACAGTTTAAGGGAAGGGCTACAGGTGATGGGGCATTCGAAAATTACTGAGCCTTGAAGGAGGATTGGGTAAATTTGATCGGGATGGAGTAAAATCTTTTAACGCTTCCAAGGGGATAAATAATGACAGTCTTTTTTGCACATTTGTTAGTTAAACGAAGCACAACTAAGTCAACCATGGAATTTGAAGTTAGTTTACTTGGAAAATAATAATAAAAAAAAGATTCTTGGAGATCACGTTGACAAAGAAAGTGCTTTTAAGCGGCCGTAAGACACTGTGCTATGTAACCTAGTGACCTGAATTCCTCACACTTGAGAATGTTTTTGTAAGCGGCTCTCGCGAAAAGCGATTTATGTAATAATTTCAAAGCAACAATGAACTGATACCTTTGATGTTGATTACTTTGGGACTTACCCTCTCAGCGTATCTTGGAAAAAAAATGTGAGGTAAATTTTAGAACGTTCTCCTTCGAAGCTTTTAAACACAACAAGAAAAAAACTTCTGCGGAAAAAATCTATCAGAACTTGAATTATGGTAAATAAAAAGAATACGAGAACAAAAGGAATAACGTTTATTAATAAAAATAACTGAGAATGTAGGAAATAATACATGTAGGAAAGTGGAGTCAAAAGATAGAGATAACCGACGGAAGACAACAGGAAAAAAAAATCATAAGTTATTATAACTATGCAGCAAAACAATATACTATCAGTGTGCTTAAGACGAGAAGTAAACATACCCCTCCTTTAACTAAGCAGCGCGATTTTAATCGGCGGATTCTTGTCAAATATTTCTCTAACATCAGAAAAGCTCCTTTTGGCCGAGTTTTAAAGACACGGGACTTTGGCTCTATATTTTTTTCGTCTTCCTGGTTTTTGTTCTTGAAAAAGTATTATCCTAAATGGATGGTAAGATTCTTTTATTGCTTTGAGAAATTAGATTTACCTTGTTTCTGTCTCTATTAGTAAATCATCCTCAACAGTTTACTAAAGAAACTTCGAAATGCGTCATTTCAGTGACTGAAAATTAAAGGCTAAATTGATGAAGAGACTTCAAACCACTTGCAAAATTTAAATGCTTTGTCTTTTTTTTAGTTTTTTTTT